AGAGGGCGGGAGTACCCGGGGAGGGGGAGGGGGGAGGGGGAGGGTGTTGAAGGTGGACGAGGTAGACACATGTTTAAACAGTGCCTTCAGCCGTAGTGACTTAACGTGGGTGTGGTGTTGGAACAGACGGGCTCTTGGCAGGCTTTATTTTCATCATAGATACGTGTCGATATAATATGACTAACACATGTGAACAACACTCCTCACTAACCAGGAAACGGGGGTTTTAACAATAGGAGGAGGCAGGTTGAGCAACAGAGAGGTTTGAACCTCAGACGCCTTAAAGATACAAACAGTGGATGGAGTCACGGTTACAGCTCAAACTGGCAACCACCATCTTAGACGATCACATTTCTCAAAAGATTTCTGCTTCAGTGGTAAAGTTTAAGAACTGTAGGTCATGCTTCCGGGGGTACATGTCTTGAATTTTATCGTGAAACCGATCTGCTGTAGATGTGACAAAAAAAAGCTTTCAAGAAGAAACGGGCATTACAGTGTCGAGGTGTATTCAAAACTGTTTCCGTCAGCCTTTATCACGCTTCTTTTCTCTCTCTTCTGGCTTTTCCATTAAGGTTTTGACTTAATGGAAACAGCCTGGAAATGTGTGGAGAAATAAACTGGCTCTTTCCAGTTTCTGGATGAGTTTGAAAAGGACAAAACGAGTTTTCGTCTGGAAAGACATTGACGTACGTTGTTGCACATCCGCAGCATTTGTACAACCACAAACCTTTGTGGATGTAGATCTCTGTCAGGAGCAGTTTGAGGAGCAGGATGAGCAACTTCAATCAAGATCAAATCAACGGTATTAAAAACTGTTGAAACTGAGCTGACAGTTGCATTGTCACACTGAACAGGAACCTTCCTCAAGTAAAATAAAGCTGTTTTTAATAAAGAGACCTGCAGCTCAATGGACCATCAGAGGTTCAACAGTCCCGTTTACTCGTTGATTTTAAGAGTTTTGTTGCTAAAAATAAAAACATAAGTGTGACTGTAACCTGACTTCATCTGTATCAGTAGAAAGAGATTCAGATAACTTAATAGAACTGGCAAATGACATTATCAATAGAGCTTTACTGACTTCTGCTTTGCAGTCTAATAGACAAAATACACACTTATGCACACATGTACACGCAGTAGTTAATAATACCAACGTGCATATTTGCAATAATCTAACAAGAGTGATGATTGAAGTTGCAAACTCCACATCCTTGCTATCATGTGACAACAATGCTTTAGAAAAATGGAATTTATTCAAAAAGAATCTTTTATTTGGATCATCAACAGGTTGACAAGCAGTCAAACTGTTTCCTAAAGCCGTCTGGCAACATAAAAAACATGAAACAATCACCAAACTTGGACACAATGATACGCTTTATTTGTCCTTTCTCTGCCTCTTCTCTCCTGACCTCTTTACTGTGGACACCAACACACTCCAACTCAAACTCTGCCTGCAACTGAAAACTCTTCCAGCGTACCACCTAATATAAAGTATTAAAGGTTGTTGCATATAGAGTTTTAACATCAACAAATCCATCCTACATTCATTTTCAGACAATATCCTGTCAGTATCAAACTAATGGATGGTCACAGACTGTCAGCCTCAGTGCACAGCACTCTGCTGTAACACGTTATGGCACAAAACTAGAGCTAAGCTGTCAGATCTTCTGCTGCTGAAGATGAACGAAAGCCCTGAATTAATGAGTTCTCTCAAAGAAAAATAATGCATTTGGTGCCATTAAAGCCAAGAATTCCAGTTAAAAGGACACTGATGAAGGACCCTGCTCCTATTAAGACAACATTGGGCACACAGAAACCCCACAAACGCCTTCATTTTACTGCAGCCGCAATACTAGACTTCACCTCATTTATTCAAGTTTGTGTGTGTGTGTGTGTGTGTGTGAGAGTTGAAACTTCCAGCTGCCACAGTAGCAAATGCCTTAAACTATTTCCTTTCCTACAAGAACATTGCTGCCTTATTGCTTAAAGCCAGTCAAATCCTAAAAAGAAGATGATTGATTGCATTATCTGAGCACATTAAAGCCTTTAAACGTGTTTTTATCGGGCTCGAACCTTTCCTGGCTTACTGCTGTTAGAGGACATGTGGCTACAGAGCAAACATTTCACACACAGCCTCCTCACACTGTCCGCTCCTGCTTCGCTCTCCTCCTGCCCTGACTGGAACCACCAGTGCTCGCAGGCGTGTTAGCACCTCCTGGAGGCCTTAAAGGGGAATTACCGCTCAGTTTAAAGGTTCATCTGTGTTGTTGCTTTGGCTGGCAGCAGACTAATCGGTGTTTGTGGGCATCAGAAAATCTCAGCCCAGAAATCAGCTCATTTTCCACCTGAACCTGTAATGTCTTCAGTTATACCCGTATACCCTTCCCTTAAAAACATCTTTGATTAAGAAAGTGTGTTTTTAAATTCATGCTGAAATTGTAAAGATTATTATTAGAGCTTTGACTTACTTTTTGCTAAATTATACGTAACAAATAATAACAGTTCACTAACTGGTGTTTCTGTTTAAGGTGGAATAATTGATGATATGTTTGTGTATAATAGATTATTAATGCTCTCTAATACTGATCGTCCTGGGCCAAAGAGATTAAACAACTTAACAACTTAAATCCTTAAACTGAGGGTATCTCCATTAAAATGAACTAATTCCACTTTTTTCCAGTGTTTTGGAGATTGGTTTATTCTGATTATGTATGGATGATTACAAGTATTATATATATATATATATACATATATATTATATACTATATATATATATATATATATATATTTCTTTGCTCATTATTGTTTCTTGGGGAACATTATTTTAGCAGGGTTTTTTTTTTGTTCGACACAGTTTTATTCTTTTCTTAGATATTTTTATTATTACTGACGTTGAGTGCCAACGTTTGAGAGAGATCAGCCCTGCTCCAGGCCTGGTTTGACAAACTAAACAATCCTCATAATAAGCTTCAAACGGCAAGAATAAACAACAACAACATATTAAACTGTTTAAAGCAATAAATACAGCTGTGGGAAGCCGCTCTGTATAGAAGATGAATGTTGAACTGGTGCGTGTTTGGAAAATAATAAAAACAGTACTTGAATGTTGTTTCAACATTGACTTGATTTTATTTTTTATTATTCACATTGGAGTCACTTTTTTTCTTCCTCTTACCACTCTTCCTCCTTTTTGTCATCAGTCATTCTTTGTTTTTGAATGAAATGGCTTTGTCCTTGTAAAAAATGCATAAAATATTAAAATAAAATCTTTTGCGGTTATCTTGTGATTAATGGAAAAACAAGTCTCCAGATTTTAGTTTGTAGTCCCCTAGATTAGATGTAGATGAAATCAAGAAGCAGCAGTGGAATGGGAAACATTTTCTGTTCTCAATTTCCAAATAAATTCTTGAACTTTTAATATTACTTATATAAGAAGATATGGAAACGTTTATATGCACAATAACAAAGGAAAATTCAACCTTATCTTTTTTTCCCCATATTTGTCTTGGAGCTATAAACAAATACACCCAGCTTCAAAATAAAGGTGCCACAACATAAAATATATGAAACCTATAATATTATATACTATTTTGCCTAGGGGTAACCCTTGAGTCTGAATTGGCTGTTCTGGTCTGAGCATAACATGAGATTGATCCATGTGAATCCTTGAAAGTTCTTAAAGGTCCCAGTGAGTAATATTTAGGTTTTTCCAATTATGTATAATCACCTGAATATAGGAAGGTTTTTAACCACAGACACCGTGGGTCCCCTTCCACACTAAAAAAAAAAAAAGAAATTGAGAAAACTCCTAATTTCAATCAACTCTCTAATGTGTATGGTTTAAAGTCAAACTCAAAAACTTTGAAGTCTTGAATACATTTAAAAAAGGTTTTGCTGACCTCTTGCTTGAAATAATTTAACCTGTTTCGAAAAACTTGAATC